AGGTGGATCTCTGTGAGTTCAAGGCCAGCCTGGTCTACACAGTGAGTTCCAGGACAGCTGGGGCTGCAGGGAGACCCTGTCTCAAAAAGACCAAATAAAAAATAAATAAATAAATGAATAAAATGGAGCTGGAGAGATGGTTCAGGTGTGGTTAAGAGCACTGGCTGCTCTTGCAGAGGACCCGGATTCTATTCCAGCACCCACATGGTGGCTAACAACTGTCTGTAATTCCAGTTCCAGGAGAATTTGATGTCCTCTTCTGACCTCTGTGAACACTGCACAACACAGGTGCACTTACATACATGCAGGCAATATACTCAGCCTGGTCTCCATAGTGAATCCAGGCCAGCTAGGGCTATAGGAAGACCCTGTCTCAAAAATAAATAAATAAATAAAATAAACAAACAAAAAAATAAATACAAATAAAAATAATAAAATATTTTTAAAAATAAATAAAATGAAATAAGTTAAGAAATGATTGAGGAAGATATCCAAAGTCGATCCGTTGGTCTCTACCGGCAGGTGCACATGCATGTTCACATATCTAAATGCATATGTGCACATACACACAAACAAGTTCACACACACATACAAATAATTAAAATTGACCCCCAGATTAAGAAATAGAACATGACCCTCTACCAACAATCACACCAGCTTCCTAGACATCTCCTATGTTTAACCTTCCAAGTAACACTGAGTTTTGTGGCAAAGTGTTTTCCACTAGCGTTTGGGAGGCCGTGGCAGGAGAATGGAGAATTGAAGGTTATCCTCTGCTAAAGCTAGTTTGAGGCTAGCCTGGGTTGCAAAATATTCTTAAATTATGTGTAATGCATGTGAGTGAGTGCTGGTGCCTGAGGAAGTCAGAGGCGTTGGATCCCCTGGAGCTGAAGTTACAGAAGTTGTAAGCCACCTGATATGGGTGCTTGGAATCAAACTCAGGTCCTCGCCAAGAGCAGGATGTGCTCTTAACCACTGGGCCACCTCTCCAGATCAATATGCATGCATGTGCCCCTTCCCCCCAAACAACTGAGAGTTTGGGGCCTGATGAGATGTATCATCGGGTAAAAGCTCTCACCACCAAGCCTGATGACCTGAGTTTGATCCCTGGGACCCACATTGTAGTAGAAGAAAAACAACTCCCTCTGACAAGTTGCCCTCTGACATCCACGTGTGCTGTGACACACATGCACGTTTTTTGAAAAAATAAAAATCTGCCGGGCATGGTGGCGCGTGCCTTTAATCCCAGCACTTGGGAGGCAGAGGCAGGCGGATGTCTGTGAGTTCAAGGCCAGCCTGGTCTACATAGTGAGTTCCAGGACAGCTGGGGCTATAGGGAGTCCCTGTCTCAAAAAGCCCCCCCCCAAATCTATTTTTCTTTTTTAAAAATTAAAAAAATATTATTTATTATTTTTGTTTTATTTATGTGTATGAGTGTATTATTATTTATGTGTATGCCTGCATCTAGGTAAGTGCACCCATGTCGTGCAATGCCCGCGGAGGTCAGAAGAGGCTGTTGGATCCCCTGGAACTGGAGTTATGGACAGTGGTTGGCTGCCACGTTTAGAATGCAAATCACCAAGCTTTCATTGAACTTGCAAAGATCCTCCTGCCTCTGCCTCTGGGAGTGCTGGTTTTGTTGTAGTATTTTGTAGTCTAATATATACCAGCATTATTTCTTTACTGTATTCCTATGTGTGACACTGGGGATCAAACGAAGTCAAGGAAAGCCAATTCACTAGGTATCTTAGATTTAAGAAGTTAAAGAGAATTTTTTAAACTCCATTGGGTTTTTTTGAGACAGGGTCTTATGTAGCTCAGGTTGACCTCAAACTTGCTAGGTAGCTGAGGCTTTGAACTCTTGATCCTCCTGCCTTCACCTCCAGGATTCTGGGATTATAGCCTCATGCCATTGTGCTGTGAAGATCATTTTCCTGGGCTCTTACCTTAATCTATCCTTGTCTAGTTTCCTCATCACCATAAAAAGTGCCACCAGGAGGCTGGAGAGATGGCTCAGCAGTTAAGAGCACCAGCTGCTCTTGCACAGGACCGGGTTTGATTCCCAGCACCCACATGGTGGTTAAGTGGTTAACATCTGTCCGTAACTCCAGTTCCAGGGGATCCAGTGCTGTCTTCTGACCTTCATGAACACTGCATGACACTTACATACATGCAAGCAATATACCGATATACATTAAAAAAATGGTGCCACCAGCCGCCCAGTGATCCTGCTTCCTCTCTTTTCCATTACACACCTCTCCCCACATGGGACACAGATAAGCCACAAGTATGCAGAACCAGTCCTCTACATTCTACTCAGCATCCACCTCCAATCCATCCACTGGTTTCTCTTCACCCCACCTCGACTCTCATAGCCTGGCACTGGCTCCCACACTCAACAGCCAAAGGGCTAGAAAACTGCAGGCTCTCGTCCCTTCCCACTTTCCATTGTCCGTGATTGCCAAAATGCTCACCTTGAACTACCTAGCTCTACTGATGTCATCCTACCTCTTAATTCCCTTCCATCACCCAGACTAGAATATAAACTCCAGGAGGACTGGGATTATCTGTTGTGTTACAGCACTGGGCATGGGAGAATCACTCAGCACAGGGATGCAACGGAGATGCCTCTTCTTTCCCTTACTTGGACTTGCTCTCCTCCCGTACTCATCTAGACAGCCCCAATTAGTCCCCTTTCAGGGATCAGGTCAATGCCACCTCTGCAGAGAAGCCGTCTCAGCCATCCCATCTAAGATGCACTCACTTTTTCATGTGTGTGTGTGTGTGTGTGTGTGTGTGTGTGTGTCTGTGCACATGTGTGCATATGGGGATTGAGTTTAGAGAATTGCACAGCTATATAGCTAGATATGGGCTCTATCACTGAGCAACACCCAGGCCCTCACTGGGGGATTCTAGGCAGGTGCTCTACCACTGAACCACACCCCCAGCCTCTCACTGGGGGATTCTAGCCAAATACCACTCTTCTATTGAATTTCAACAGCTCACTGAACACCGTATGACACGGGTACACTTACATACATACAAGCTCTTTGTAACCTTTAAAAAAAATTACTTATTTCTTCAATCATCTATTGTTCATTCAAAAATATACTGTTCAGGCTGGGTGTGGTGGTGTATGCCTTTAATCCCAGCACTCAGGAGGCAGAGGAAGGTGGATTTCTGGGAGTTCAAGGTCAGTCTGGTCTCCATAGTGAATCCAGGACAGCTGGGGCTACAGGGAGACCCTGTCTGAGTCAACAAGAAGACCCAGTGGATAAAGGCACTTGGTGTTCTAAAGATTTTATTTTTTATTTTTATTTTATGTATATGAGTGTTTTGTCTGCATGCATATAATACATGCAATGCTTACAGGGGCCAGAAGAGGGTACTGGATCCCCTGGAACTGGAGTTATGAACGGTTGTTAGTCACCATATGGGTGTTGGGAACCAGACTCAGGTCCTCTGCAAGAGCAGCCAGTCCTCTTAACCACTGAACTGTCTTTCTAGTCCTTCCTTTTTTCAGAAATTGTTAATACACTTGTGTGTGTGTGTGTGTGTGTGTGTGTGTGTGTGTGTGTGTGCTGGCCAAAGGACAACCTCAGGTGTCATCCTCAGCATTGATGTTCACGTCCTTTTGAGAGGATTTCTCATTGGCCTGGAGCTCATAAATGAAGCTAGCAGTCTGGCTAGCCAATGAGCCATAGGGTTCCTCTTTCTGGTTCCCCAGTGCTGGGATTACAACTGTGCACCACCACACCTGGCATTTCACTTTTTGTTTTATGTGTACAGTATACTGCCTACATGTGTGCAAGTGCACCCATGCCCTGCAGTGCCTGAGGTCATCGGATCCCCTAAAACTGGAGTTACTGACAGTCGTTAGCTGCCATGTAGGTGCTGGGATTCGAACCCAGGTTCTCTGCAACAGCAGTCAGTGCTCTTAACCACTGAGCCAGCTCTCCAGCCCCTGAACCTGGCATTTTTATTTGGGTTCTGGGGATTGAACTCAGGTCCTCCTTCTTTTGAGGCAAGCTCTCCACTGACGCAGCTATCTCCCCAGTCCAGCCTTTTGAGTCAGCTTTGTTGTTGTTTGGTCTTTCTGAGACAGGGTCTCCCTGTAGCTCCAGTTGGCCTGGAATTGGCTATGTAGACCAGGCTGGCCTCACTCACAAAGATCTGCCTGCCTCTGTCTCCCGAGTACTGGAATTAAAGGAAAGGCGTGTGCTACCATGCCCAGCTTCAGTCAGGTTTTAAGTTGCTCAGACTGGCCTTGGAATTCACTCCACAGCCCAGGTTGGTCTTGAAGTTGTGATCTTCCTGCCTCAACCACCTGATCCAGCTACCACTCACTTGCTCAGCATGAGTCTCTGTTGCTGCAAGGGTGCTCAGATCCACAAGAAATTACCTTCTAAGTTTCTTTGATTCCGCCTCCTCCTCCCCCACCCCATGCATTGTCCAGACACAAAAATATAAATTCTACAAGGGCCAGTATTTTTTACTTTGTTCACTGTAGGGTTTTCGGAGGGTTTATAATGCCTGGTTTGGAGTAAGCACACTTGGTACAGGAATGCAATGGAGCATTGGGGAGCCAACCTCTTCTCTGATGGGCTGACCCTGTCCGAGGAGGTGTCTCCTGAGATCAAAGGCACACATTGGGTTGTAGAAAATGAGTCTATCAGGCAGAGCTTCTTCAGGCTTCCAAGGGGTATATCCCATGGGACTAATTTCTACTGGGTTATTCTTGATTTATAAGGGGGCCTGTTTTTAAGTTGGAGAAAGACTTGTGTACAGGGTTCCACTTAGATGGCACTTAAAACGACCTACTCTGAAGGATTTAAGTCTCTCTCTCTCCCCTGCCAACCATTAACGCCTATACTCAGGAAAGGCTGGGACCTTGTTGAGTACCCCCTCCAGGACCTGCACCTATTTAGAAGAGCTATTCTAAGTTCAGGGAGAGAGATCCCCACCTCTCTGGAATCCAGGATCAGACAACCAGACAACAGTAACTGACAGGATGAGGTTTATTGGAGTCCTGGAAACATTGGGAGTGGGATGAGGGGGTGAGGTTGAGGCTCACAGGGGAGGACCCCCTAGCCAAGTTCCCCCCTTCCCCTTGGGGTTGGGAGGAACACAGAAACAGACAAGTTGACAGATGGAAACAGATAGCTACTACAGTAGAGGGGGAGGGAAACCCCAATGTCCACCACCTCCACGGGGTCCCAGGATGGGGAAATGGCAGAGGACCAGACCACGCTCTACAGCATAAGGGATTGTCTGCCCTATTACTCTAAGGAGGGTGGGGCCATGCCACAGCCTGCACCAGCCTTTCCCAAGTGGACAGAGCTATGTGCATCTGGATCAGTCCATCCTACTGGGCTGGGAGACTTTGGATCAGTCTATTCTAGTGTTCAGATGTGGGGAAGATAGGGTTAGTCAGTCCATTCTGCAGTAAGGGAGACCTAATCAGTGAGTGAGGGAATTGAAGGTAGGGGGCATCTATCCTGGTCCTCTTTCATCACAGGAAGTAAAACAGGGGAAAGGCAGATTCTGGCTATAACCATTTTCCGGGGCCACCAGTGGGTGGTCAGGGTCATTTGGAGAGGACCCTGGAAGAGTCCAGGATACTGCTCCTCCCATTCCCCAGATGAAGTTCATCAGGAATGATGGCTCTCAGGAAGTGGGGCAGTAGGCTGGTGGGGGTGCCCATGTGTTGAGGAGAGGTACGTGTGGAGACCCGTTTCTCATTCCTAAGTCCCCAAGTCTTGAAGGCCAGTTGATTCCGGGGTGCCCACATTCTGGGGGTCTCAAGATCAGAAGTCTCTCTATAGATTTCAGGCCCAAACAACTCAGTTCTTAGACCCCTCTGCTGAGGGATCTGTTTAGTAGTAGTCCTACGTGGGTTCTGGGTGGCACAGTCTGTGCAAGTGGGGCCTCTCATCTCAGGGTCTGGCTCTGGACTTGGGGGACCTGGGCGACCTGGTTATTCAATCCATGCCCCTATGTAGCTTTAGGTGCCTGGAGAGGTTGCTGAGCGTTATGAAGCCCTTGCCACAGATGTGGCAGGGGAAGGGCCGCTCCGTGCCGTGCAGCAGCCGGTGGCGCTTGAGGTAGCACTCGTGGCGGAAAAACTTGCCGCACTCCAGGCACGGGAAGGGCTTCTCCCCGGTGTGGACCAGCACATGCCGTTCCAGGTCTCGGGGCGAGCGGAACAGCTTCTCGCACTCGGAGCAGCCGAAGATCTTCTTGCCACGGCTGGAGGAGCCAGGCACAGGCTCCCCCGATGCCCTCTCCCCTTCAGGGGCCACAGCAGAGGACTCCTGCCCGCTGCCCTCACCGTGGCTGATCCGTCGATGCTCCTCCAGAGCAGCCAGCGCTGCATACAGCGCTCCACAGTGGCCGCAACCATAGGTGGCCGGGCCCGAGTGCGCTTCCAGGTGGCTGGCCAAGGCCGGCGCTGATGCGAAGAAGGTCCCGCAGTCGCACTGGTACAGCGTGTCTTCCGAGGATGCCTCGGGCACAGCTGCGGGAGCCGGGGTCTCCCCCACCGCCTCGGGAAGCAGCGCCTCCAACTTGGGCATGCTGCCCCCCGCGGGGCTCAGGAGCAAACCATCGTCCCAAGCTGGTGGAGCATCCCCCACCTCCACGGTGTCACTCTCACCCGCCACCTCCGGATCCCCACCAGCTGCCCAGACCTGAGTGGGGGGCGCCGTGCTCCCCTGCAGGTCGTGCGTGAGCTTGTGGCGCTCCAGCAGGGCCGGCGCATTGAAGTCGCGCTCGCAGCGTGGACATTTGAAAGGCTTCACGTCGGTGTGTGCTGCCCAGTGGGCTGCCAGCTCCCGGCCGTGGTCGAAGCGCCGGGCACAGGCGCCACATGCAAAAGGGGGCAGTGAGGCCGCGGCTGCAGCTGCCGCCTCTGCCAGCCCCCAGCTGGCGGCACTTGCCCCCTCCAGGCCCTCTGCGCCACCGGCCCCCGCGCCTCCGCACACCGAGCAGGGCCCCACGTTGCAGCAGACAGAGCAGGGGGCACTCAAGGGAGGCAGCCCCGGGCTCGGCTGTAGCGGAGACGGGAGCACGCCCCGGTGCTGGCGCTTGAGGTGGCGGCCCAGGCTGGAGCGGGAGGAGAAACGAAGCTCGCAGACCAGGCAGCAGTAGGGCTTCTCACCAGTGTGCACAACCTGGGGACAGGAGCAAGAGTCACAGGGCAGGGCTAAGGATCCGGGTCCTAAGTCTGCTTCCCAGTCTCCCCAAGGACCAGAATCCAAGTTCTCAGCCACAGCTCACAGGGCACGTCAGGCTTCCACCCTCTCCTCTCTGCTAGGTAGCTAGGCAGGCAAGGAGAGCGAAGGGAACTCCAGAGAGGGAAGACAAAATGGTCCCAGGAAAAGCTAAAATACCATATGAAAAGGTGTGGACATTAGTTTTATTGAGGTCCACGGAAAGGAAACCTACTTCCTCCTGGGCAAAAGAACTCAGGCCAGTAAGATGGCTCATTTGGTAAAGGTGCTTGCCACTAGGCCTGATGACCTGAGTTCCAGCTCTAAGCCACATGGTAAGAGAGTCGACTCCTGCAGGATGTCCTCTGACCCTATGTGGGCCATAGCAGAGGCCTCTCCCCGCAAATATAAATAATTAATAAATAAATAAATAAATAAAAAGCAAGCAAGCAATAAAAGGCCACAGAATCTCAGGCCCGTCTGCTTCCGAGGACTTACCTGGTGGTGCAGCAGGCCAGTAGAGTCCCGGAATCCCTTGGGGCAGGCAGAACATCGGTAGGGTCGCTCCCCAGTGTGTGAGCGTAGGTGGTTGGCCAAGTTGAAGCTGTGCTTGAAGCCCTTGCCACATCGCGGACAGGCATGGGGCTTGAGTGCTGTGTGTCGGGCAAAGTGGCGCCGCAGGTCTGAGCGGTACCGGAAGCTCTTGCCACATTCGCTGCAGTGAAAGGGGACCCGGGGAGCGGCAGCAGGTGCAGCTGGCCCCGGAGCAGGGATAGGGGCAGGAACCACAGGCATCGAGGCGTTATCCATGGTGGCAGGTACCCTGGTGGCTTGGGGCTTTCTCTGGAGTTCAGCAGAGATACAGAAGCGGGTAAGGGGTCACTTCCCCATTGGCCATCCCTTCCCTTTGCTCTTTGGGCTCAGAAACACTTGTCCCCAGGGAGACCCTCCAGCTGGGCTAAGCCAGGTCCACTATCCAAAGCCATATCCACTGGCCCTTAAACTCTTCCCACTCTCCACAAACCCTCCTCCCTCTTCTCCAGTCCTCCATCCACTTCCAAGTTTTTGAGACCCACCCACGATGATTTAAGCCTCTCCCACTCTTATTCGAGCCCCTCCTATTCCTTTCAGAGCCCTTCACACTAGTGAGATCAAAAGCAGTGACTGAGATCAAACCAACTGAGCCGGGTGTGGTGGCGCAGGCCTTTAATACTAGCACTTGGGAGGCAGAGGCAGATGGATCTTTAAGAGTTTGAGACCAGGCTGGTCTACAAAGTGAGTTCCAGGCCAGCGGTCTCAAAAAGACAAAAAACAAACAAACCAAAAAAACAAAAAAACAAAAAAGTCCAATTGAAACTCTCCATCAATGAAGCGGGAATAATACTAATGCCTACATCATACAGTGACGGTTCAAGCTAAGTAAAACTGCAGCAACTGTTCAACGTACTTAGGCAAGCCAATGCACTGCAGACACCCAATAACCGCGCAGGTCTGAAGATCATCCTCTAAGTTTCTCTAGTTCCCTCTTTTCTTCCCACATGCTTCCACGTTATTTGACTTTTCCAAGTTACATCTCCACTAAGACCTGTCTCCAAATCCCACCCAACGTTTCCTTTAAATAAACCACATCTTTTCTACAACCTCTACTCCCTCCAATCATTTTCTCGGCCCTTTCATAGCCTGCTGCTAAGCTCCCGGCTCCAAACATTTGCATCTTCATTACAAAGATCTGATAGTTCTAAAACTCTCCAAACTGCACTTACAAGAGGCTCCCTTTCTAAGGCTACTTTTTCTCTAAGCCACACCTCAGACAAACTCCACCTAGCCTACCCAAAGGCCCTCCTACCTTTTGGGGCCCCATTTCTACATTAACCTTAAGGAAGTCAATTTTTCTACCTAGGCCCCTCCCACCACTCTGTGAGCCACACCCCCTCATAAAGTATCCTCTGCTCAAACCACACCCATTTTCTAAACAGTCCTTCCCCTTTACTAAGCTCCTCCCCTTACACTATGGGCCCCGCCCCTCCTGCGCCCCGCGACCTGCGGAGCTGCTGCCGCCCCCCCCATCCCGCCCAAACCGCTGGAAGAACCAGGCCCGGAAAAGTGGCCCTTTGTACCCCTTTCCCTGTCCCTATAGGTGCGGCCTCGGGCGCCCGGGGTCGGGGAAAGGTCAGGCGGCCCGAGGGCCAGGCGAGACCACCTTGATTTTGCGTGGCGGAGATTCTGGAGACCCAGCACGACCCCGGGAGGCCGAGGAAGTCAGTCGGATTTCCTCTTTAATTACTTACACCTCCCTCTGGGCGCCGACATTTTGGGCAGCGGGGTCAGCGTCACTTCCACCTGAGGGGCCCCTCGACTTCCGCCTCAGCTCCCTTTCCCCCCACAATCCCCCTTTCTCCCGCCCCCTTGGTTCCCCCCTTCCCGCCCTCACTCCCCCTTCTCCCTCTTTCCCTTTTCCCAGGCCTGGTTAAAGAAGCCAGACTAGCGCCATCTTGGTTGAGGGCACAGGGAGAGGCGGGGCTTAGATTACCCGCGGCGCCATTGTGAGTAAGGGCAACGTGCTCTGCGCGCAGCTTCTCATAGTCCATGGCGACGCTAGGACGTGTTAACGCAGATGGACTCAGATGGCCCTTTTTCCTAGCCTTCTACTCCTCCTGGCTAGGATGTCGACTTGTATCCGGAAGAAAGGAAAGTCGAAGTGCTCGAACCGCAGTGCAGAGCTAGAAAACACTAAGCACCATCTTACCACCTTGAGGCCATGGGGCTTTGAGGCTAGAGACGCCATGTTAATTAGGGGCGCTTAAGCAGCCATTTCCCGTTCTCAGCTAATCCGTACCTGTACTTGATTGAAGTGCTTTGTGAGACGAGAGGCTTTTCGATGTAGCTGGGGAATTTTTGTGGGTTATTTCCCACGGGGGTGGGTGGG